CCGAAGGGGGACCCTCGGGGTTTCCAAATCTACCCAAGTAACCTCCTCCGAGAACAAACAAAACCTAATACTCCCTACCAAAAAAATAAATTTAAACTTAAAAAAAACAGAACTAGACGGAGGTAGGGGGAGGTATAGCTCAGCGGGAGAGCACATGCTTAGCATGTACAGGGTCCTGGGTTCAATCCCCAATACCTCCATTTAAAAAATAAACAAATAAATAAATAAATACATAAATAAATAAACATAATTACCTCCCCCCTCCAAAAAAATAAATACATAAATAAATACATGAAACGAGTACCACTTAAAAAAAAAACCAGACAATGTAGAGAGGTGGCTGTCAGCGCCCCTCCCCCATCCCTCCTCAGTACCTACTCCCAGCACCTGCCAAAGCTGGCCTTCTGCAAACGAATAGCTTTGGAATACGGCCCCATTTTTACCTAAGGGGTAACACCCCCAGGATCAGCCCTGAGCTAATGATGGCTAGAATCTGAGGATACTTCTGCACTGTTCTGCACTGCTTTCCAGGGTCCCCCAGGAGGACCAGCCTTAACTGCCCTCCGCGGAAACCTCCTTGAGGATCCATGCATCCTTACAGTCTGCTTCCTCTTTCCTATTTTATTTCCTTCTTTTCTCCAATTTTACTTATTTTTCCAATTTTTCTTGGCATCACCTCCTAAATCATGCATTCTCAATAGAGATGGCATTGCCTCCATGTGGGCACAACTGGTTCTTGGAGGGTGGGGTTGGGGGAAAAAATGTTACTGTTTTTATATCTCAAGCCTAGACACACATACAGTACATAAAGAGATACACAGCATATCTGTGACATTAAAATATCAGGGGTGGGGCAATCAGGGGGGAAAAAAGTCTAAAAAGAGTCCTCAAAAGGGACATAATGGAAACAAGATTGCACAGCCCTGTGTTCAATAAACCGCTTGCACTGAGCGCCGGGCGGGCCGCAGGGAGCTTCTGGAGGGACACAGACTAAGATGTAGCGTTAGCCTCTGCTGAGCACATCCATGAATTCACTCGTTTAATCTTTTCAGCAGCATGTAAGGCAGGGACTATTAGGGCCATTGATCAGATGAGACACTGGAGCTATGCGAAGTGCAATGACTTGCTAGCCCAGCAGGGCTCAGGGTGAGAACTTCGGTCTCCTGGGGCCAGGCTCTCAGCTGTACCCTAGAAAAGCCATCAAGTGTGTTCAGCCCAAAGTGGGAAATAACTCTATGAATGTCAGTGACTGCTGTTTATTGAAAATAGATCAGGTTTCCACGAACGGACTAGATGATGGTGCTGCCCCACAGGTGACATGGCAACAACTCAAGTGGGTAAAAACTTGAGCTATCATTAATATGATGGCTTCTGAAACCCCAACCCAATGTCGGGCTCAAGGAAGATCAGAGAGTATTTTCTATGACTCTTGGTAGAGGGCTGGCTTTGGGGGGGTAGGGGTGGAGAAAAGGGGACCTGGGCACTGGTAATTTCAACAGGAATAGAAATGCTTCTTGCAAGAGACCATCTGGAGCCTATGGATGAACGTCTGATCACCCTGCACTTGGTTTTACTTTTTCTTCTATTCGTTTGATCTAGATCCCAAGACAGTGATACCCAAAGAAATCACACCTTAGGGCAGACCGCCCACCCCACTGGTACGTAGCCCTTGGAGGACCACCAGGGACAGCGATGTGGCTGAATGGAGGCCAGCCTGGGAAGAAGGTCTGAGTTCAAGCCCTCCCTCCGTCAGCAGAGTAACTTTAGGCAAGTTTCTCACCACCCCGAACCTCAGTTTCCTCTTCTCTACAGTTCTGATAACCTCTGATTTTTGTAATGTGCCAAGTGCCTGTTCTCTAGGTTCATAAATCCCATAAACTGCTGTTAAGTAATATCCGCTGATTAGTTTGATTAGACTTGCTGAATCGTAATGTTTCCATCTCCGGACTGACCGCACTAGACGCAGAAGCATCCAAAACTGATAAACATGCGATGACACTGAGCAGAAGCTGGCCTTTTAGGAACGGACAGGATTGTGGAGATAACATAGTGTGACAGTGTTGAGTGATTTCCCATTAGCGCAGATGACCTGGACTGGATGAGCACGGGCCCCTGGCTCAGTATTTTTAAGTCATGTTGGGTAATATTTCACCCCATCCCCTCCGCCAAGAGACACCTATCAAGATGGAGATGAACTTGTACTGCTATGGCAGGTTTACAAAGAATCTGATGGCAAAGAAACTCTACGTACAGGCTGCTTGTTCCTCATATACAACACTGACTTAGGAAAGCCAGATTTGACGAATCTGTAAGAAGGGACCTGCTATAACAGCCACTGTTACTAATTCTTCTCAAGCAAGTGTCCTGGTAGGGTTGCCCAAGAAGGGATATGATACACTGAGAGATGATATAAAAATTTTGGTTATTATTGATATGCTGGTTTTATATGCCCCAACTTGACTGTCATGCTCTTGCGGGATCCGGACAATTTTACGTCTTGTAAGGGAGGATGGAGAGGAGGAAAAGGCGATCCCAGCCCTGTGGTCTTCAGCAGGGAGAGAAGCCCATCTCAGGAGGCGCCCATGGACAGGACGCCCCATGAGCCAACTGTGTATTTACTCCTATTCTTCGTAAACTACATGCAAGAAACAATCTTCTTCCCAAGTTATAACCCAATTTGTTCTCTCAAGAAAACATTTCAGGCAAACTCCTCTATCCCTTCTGTGGCAGAATAAAAAGCTCCATCCAACAGGGGTACAACTGGGATGGGGTTTGATTTGCATCCTAGGACACCTGCAAACTAGGGATGGCCTGGAACCTCAGTACTGACTGCAGTCTCCTTGGAAACAAATCTTTTTCTTTTCATTCCCCAAAAAGGTGATCATCTTAGGGCAGCCAGCATCTCTGTACACATCGGTGCTAAATTGTAATGCTAGTGGGTTCCCGATTAAAATATGCAGTGATGATCAGGTGATGCAAGCCAGACAGAAACGTGGCTAATCTGTACGTGGGAAAATGCTCAAACCCAAAACCCAACGGTGGGATCTGTTTGCTCCTCCCACAGCTTTCAGAAGATGCTACCTCAAAATGCCCCGCCCTCTGTAGCTTCCAAAGTGCTCCTGCACGCACTGCCCCGTGAGATCCTTGCACGGATCCTACACAGTGAGCATCTGCAGACAGTGGCATAAGGGAGGTGGTCAAATCACACAGTTAATGCAGCTCTTCAAACAGCTCATCCAGTACATTTCCAACAAACCCACGGCTGTCTCGGGGACCCCGCCCGAGAACCACAGAGCAGTGTCTAAAAAGGGTTTTTATTCAGTCCACTTTTGAAGACCTTTCCCTTGCTTCTCTGCCCACTGCTCTGTTGTTAAATAATGTCACAAATCTTGTTTTCATTCTGTCAAAACTTCAAAACCCAGGCAAAAAAAAAAAAAAACAGAAAGAAAAAGAGAGAGAGGGAGAGAAAGAGAGCAGAACCTTGATTCTTCAGAAAATACTGCAGGGTCACACTTGACTTATGAACCTTTTAAACATGAATGGGATCTTTTTTAATGAATACAGCTTTGAAAGGGGGAGCTTCCAAATCATGCAAAAATAGTGATTTAGTCTTCAGTTCCATTGAAGGGAGCCTTCTGTTCTCCAAGTAGGAGGGGAGACGAGTCGACATCGGACAATCAGCAGAGTCCTTCACCTTCTCCCTGCCTGCTTACACCTCCTTTGGAAAAGCCTCTCCCAGTACAGGAGACCTAACAGTGTCTTCCCCTTTCTGCAGCCCTGGCTCCCTCATCTGCATTCTATTACCACATTTGCTAGACTGTTGAAAGGTCGTGGTTTCCAGTCTCTCTCTCCATGGGGAAGGAATTACAGTTCACCTCCCTCAATGGCCTGGCACAAAGCTTGGCACTGGAGTCCGTATGTGTGGCCCTGAAATGAATGAGCTTAGCGTGCTCAGCTGCACCTTTCTAGTGCATGTCCGTCATCACCTGGACAAAGCCCAAGGCGGAGAGGAGCCCTGAGGGACTGTCTGTAGGAAATCCGTGAATCTAAGAAAGCCTGTTCAGTTCAGCCAATGGTTCTCAGCCTGGTTTCATGTTGGAATCACCTAAGGATGCTGCCTGGGACCCCAAAGAGCTAGGGTATCAATTTCTGGGGTGAGGCCTTCGTCTGTGTTCATGCATGTGCTCTGTGTGGTCTGTGTTTGGTCTTTGAAGTATTTTTAATTTTTTATTATTTTTTTTAAATTGGAAGAGTAACATAATCCACACATACGTACTCCTCCCCTGGACATTCCTGCTGTTAATATTTTTGCCACCTTTGCTTCCTTCTCTCTCTTCCTCTGTGTATACTGTGTACACATACGCACATATACACACTTAGCCTGTGTGCCGAAGCATTTGAAAGTAAGCTGCAGATTTCATGACACTTCACCACTAAATAGTACAGCACGTATCTCTTAAAAAATAGAACTTTCACCTGCGTAACCACAATGCAATAATCATACACCAGAAATTAAATCTGGATATAATAATGTCATCTAATACGGAGTCCATGTTCAAATTTTCTTAACTGTCCCTATAATATTATCCTTTATTGTTATTTATTTTTTTCAGTTCAGGGTCCAGTCAAGAATCATGAATTGCATTGGCTTGTTCGTGTTTTCTCCAGTTTTACTGACATACAATTGACACATGACATTGTATAAGTTTAAGGTGCACGAAGTGATGATTTAATATACATAGATTATGAAATGATAACCACGGAAGGTTCATCAACACATCCAACACCTCATGTGGTTGACTTTTTTTTTTTCTTTTTGGTGAGAATTTTTAGAATCTACTCTTTTAGAAACTTTCAGTTACACAACGGAGTTATTTTTAACTATAGTCACCATGCTGTACTTCACATCCCCAGAACCTATTCATCTTATAACTGGAACTTTGTACCCTCTGACCATCTTCACCCATTTCCCGTACCCCCCACCCCCCGACCTCTGGCAATCACCAATCTGATCTCTGTTCCTGAGTTCAGTATTTTTAGGTTCCACATGTAAGTGAGATAATACAGTATTTGTCTGTTTCTGACTTACTTCTCTTAGCATAATGCCTTCAAGGCTCATCCATGTTGTTGCAAATAGCATGACTTCCTTCTTTCTTATGGCCAGAAAGTATTCCACTTGGGGTATGCACCACATTTTCTTTATTCATTTATCCATTCATAGATACTCAGGTGTTTCCATATCTTGTCTATTGTAAATACTACTGCAATGAACACGGGAGTGCAAACAGCTCTTCGAGATACTGACTGCATCTCCTTTGGACATACGCCCAGAAGTGGGGCTGCTGGATCATATGGTAGCTCTAGTTTCGATTTTGAGAGTAACCTTCATATTGTTTTTCCATAGTGGCTGCACCAGTTTCCATGCCCACCAACAGTACATAAGGGGTCCCTTTTCTCCACAGTCTCACCAACACTTGTTATTTCTTGTCTTTCTGATAATGCCATTCTGGCAGGTGTGAGGTGACATCTCACGTGGTTCTGATTTGTATTTCCCTGGTGGCTAGTGACACCGAGCACCTTTCCACGCACTTGTTGGCCATTTGTATGTCTTCCCGGAAAAATGTCCACACGGAGCCTTTGGCCATTTTTAAATCAGACTATCTGCTTTCTTGCTGTTGAGTTGTATGAATTCTTTATGTATTTTGGATATTAGCTCCCTATCAAATACGTGGTTGCAAGTATTTTCTCCCCTTCCACAGTGGCCTTTTCATTTGGTTGATCACTTTTTTGTGATACAGAAGTCTGATGTAGTCCCGCTTTTGGATTCTCAAGCGTTGCATTTGGCTGTCACGGATCTTTAGCTTCCTTTAACTTAAACACTTATCTTCATCTTTGTTTTTACGACACAGACCCTTTGGAAGAGACCATGCTGGATATTTTGGAGGATGGCCCACAATCTGACTCTGACTTTCTCTTCATGATTAGATTCAGGTCGCTTTAGGCACGACTGCAGGTGTGTTGTACACTTCCACTGAATCATTCAGGAGGAGGGGAGGGTCGGTCTGCCTCCTTATACCCAAGTTTGGTGGCTCTGGTTAGGGTGGAGTCTGCCAGATTTCTCCTACAGTGCCTTCTTGCCTGGGTGAGTCACATGTATATCAAAGTCAGAGAAGCCACATTACTCAAAGTGTGGTCTGCAGACCAGCAGCAATGGTCTTCCCTGGGAACTTCCCCAAATGAGTGTTCATCTCTCTCTTTTACTCTTCTTGTGCCTTGTTTTCCATAGAGGACAACTGTGACAAGGTGACAAGAGCACCACCTACTGGTTGGAGGACTCGCGTGTGATTCCAGTTCCATCACTGAAGTAGCTTCAAGAGCCTGGGCAGATCATGTAACTTCTCAGTATCTGTTACTCATTTCTAAAAGAGAGACACTGGGCACCCTCCCTTCCAACATGGATGGCCATTCAATGTGAGCACATTTCCTAGAAAGTGACAAAGTGGCACCCGTGGTCATTGCCATTCCCGGCACAGAGCATCCTTACTGCCGAGAGATCTGACATTGTGGGCTGTTGCTGCCAGCCCTTTACTTGATTTCATTCTGCTTGAGAGGTCTGAAAATGTCATTAAAAAAGAGAGCCAGTAAGAAGACAGAGAGTTCATAAAATGAAAAATCAAGTAAGATTATTAGAAAGGAGAAGGGGCATGGATTTATGAGGGGTGCAAGAAGGCAGATGGAGTATGATTGAGAGGGGAAGCAAAAGAGAAACAATATTTACTGAAATCTACAATGTGTTGCAGGAGGTAAAGGAGAGGACGTGACCACGGTTGACCCGTGCACTGGCTTCTCATCCCTCCAATGCCGGAAACGGACTCGCCCACTGATCCCACAGTGGGAGACATTTTCAAAGACACAGCCTTGAATACGTATGCGTTGTTGAGACCATCCTGATAATGTACGTTACTGAACCCTGTTAAGTTCTCTCTATAAACTTTTAAGATGATGGTGGACAAGGGCCTGACATCTACTTGTCTTGCTGCCCAAGACAAGCCTCATATAGAAGTTCTCTGCTTCTTAAATCTGCCACCTATTAATCTGGAGTGATCTGCCTCTGTCTTCAATCTCTCCTTGCCCTCCATGTATTGTGGACCACTTTCAGATTTCACCTGGGGAACTCCTGAAGTTGCAAACCAACACAATGCAAGGTTTAGGTGTTTAATATCATCACCTCAATTAAATTTTACAATAACCCAGGCGTAGGCATTATTACAGCCATATCTGAAATAAAGAAACTAAAATCCAGGAACGTTGGGGAAATTACCCCAGGTCACACAGCAGGGAAATAGCAGAGTGGATGAAACTCAGGTCTGACTCCAAAGACTATATTTTCACCACTGAAGAAAGAATGATATAATACAAATCATCTCACACCTGTCAGAATAGCTATTATCAAAACAAAAACAAACAAAAAACCACAAGAGACAACAGGTGTTGGTGAGGATATGGAGAAATTGCAAGCCTTGCACACTGTTGGTACAGATGCAAAATGGTGCAGCTGGAAAACAGTATGGAGGTTCCTCAAAAATTGAAAATAGAACTACCATGTGATCCAGCAATTCCACTTCTGAATATTCCCCCCAAAATATTATAATCAGGATCTCAAAGAGATAGTAGCCCTTCCGTGTTCTGTGTTCACAAGAATACTATTCACATTAGCCAAGATATGGAAAATGTCCATCAACAGATGAATGGATAAAGAAAACGGAATACCATTCAGTCTTTCAGAAGAAGGAAATTCTGCAGTACATAACATCAATGCCAAGTGAGCTAGGAAGAGGAGGCAGAGGCAGGACTAAGAGCCCTCTGTTACCGTGGGGAAGGGGCACCCAGGGATGCCTAGTGAAATACCCAGAGTCCCCGGTTGTTGGCAGAGGGTCAGAACTGGAATCCAGGCTCAGAAATAGAGGTGACCCAAGGCATTCACACGTGAGCTCCAGAAACTGAGCCACGTGATCCTGGACAAGTGGTTCTATCTGTTTTAGTTTTCATATCCTCACTGATCAAATGTAGGGAACAATTCCCACATCATAGAACCACAATGAGAATTAAATGAACTAAATGGTTTGCCTGTGGGAAAGTGCCTGGCTAAGTATTCAATTCTTCCTTCTTCCACAGTTTTACATTTTCCTGGATGCTCTCTGGGAAACTGAGATTATAGGTTTGGCATTCCCAAACCTGGTACTGGGTGATGGAATAATTCTAGAGAAGGATAAAATTGAGGCCTTAAGCTATCCCTTCCCCAGACTGGGCAAGGCTGGGCTGGAGCCCTGGCTGGGAAAGGTAGGAGGGGAAGAAAGAGGGAGCCCATAAATTCCAGTGGGACCTCAGGTTCGGAAGTCAGCCAATAGGTACTGAACACCATTTATGTGCAAAAGGACATGAGAGGCTGTGTATGTTTGTGGGCATGCAAATGATCTGTATGCTTTTTTATTACCACATATTCCAGTATTCAGTTCAGTTTACCTAAATACAGTGCTAGAGTCAGAGATGAATATATTTTAATCCCTTTTCACCACCTGAAGAAAGCAAATGGAAGAGTAACAATGGATAACCTTTCTCTCCAGCCACCAACACCTGCAAATACACGCAGACATGGATGCCAAAGGGTGGACCACCCAAAACCCATGCTCCCTCCTACTCGTTCCTTAGTTTCCGGCAGGCATGCTTTCCAGGCTTCAGTAACCTCTGATGAAACCTGTTGCCAAGCCTGAGGTTCTGTGCAGATGCCCCCACCTGGTGGCCAGATCTGGAAAAGCCTTTCCAGCCAAGGAAGATTGGCAGGTAGTGTAACACCAGGGCTCCCTGAACTCTTTCCCACCACATCAGCCATGGGTCATCCGGAGAAGGACAGAGAGGAATATCCACTGCTAAACGCACAAGAGGGGTCAAGGTCCTGGCCAATTCCCTGCTAAAACCCTGGTGATGGTACAGCCTCCTAAGAAGCAGCCATCAGGATGACTAAGCCACAAACAGGAGGCGAGGGGCACCTGGAAGTACCCTGCCAGCCCCCACCTCCCCTCCTGGGAGAGGAGCCACCCATGCCACTCTCTCCCTCTCCCCAGACACAGCAGGATTTTCTGTAGAGAGTGTCAGGTGCAGAAGGGAATACCATCTTTCTTCTAGCCACGCATTTACATCCTGTCAAGAAGGAGACTGTTTCTAAGGGAAGGGTGCCTGGGAGTGCCCAGCCAAAGCTAGAGAAGGGGAAGCAGTTGAGGTTGAGGGGACATTAAGACCAAGTTATGAGGCTATTTTGGCCGAAACAAACCCCAGTCCTCACCTACTGGCACTGTTAAGCCCCTATTCCGTCAGTCTGGGCTTGCAGCCCAGGATTCATAATCAATCTCCCTCTATCCCTTTCTCATTAAGTTCCCTAAAAAGAACCCCCAAACATTCATTTTGATCAGTCCAAGTCTCCAATGAGAGCAAACCACGTTTCTTCCCATATCAGAATGGAGCCCAAAGAAGGGCAGCACAAGCAAGCAATGGACACCCGCACTCATCCGCGCGCGCGCACACACATGCACACCCTGCTATGGGCAGTGTACCACTCCCATCCCCAACTCCAGGATGTATCATCTAAACTCAGCAGCGATGCAAGAGAAGGGACCCACCCCAAGCAGAAACACAGTGCGCATGGGAGGATCCGCTTTATCCCGTTCAACCTCCTCATTAATTGGAAAAACCACGTAATTCTTTTAAGCTTGAGTACTAACAACCGGAGAAGCTGCCATAAATGCGCACCCGCACGCACACAAACATGTCAATCCAATCTCCAAATCAACTGAGAAGCCACGCTCGGATCTTTTAAGCCCTGGTGTCCAACACCCAGGGAGGGGTTCACAGACACACAGCCAGACACAGCAGAGGGCAGACTCGTCTTCAATTCAGAGGACGCGCGCCCCTGTACTTTGAAGCCCCAGAGACATCCTCAGCTCCCACCCCGAACCCCACCACGCGCCGCCTCCAAGGGGCGCCCCGAGCGGCCCGGTACTCACACGAGCGCGTGGTAGAGCAGCGCCCAGCCCCGCGGTCTCTCGAGGGCGTCGTAGATCAAAGTTTGGACGCGCCGGTACTTGGCGTTGTTCCTCTTGACTGGGCGGCTGAGGGGGGGTCTTGGCCAGGAGCCCGATGCCCTGCGGGGTCCTCCGCAGCCCCTCGTCGCGGCCGCCGCCCTCCAACAGCAGGGTCCCGTCTTTGTCAGCTCCGGCCCCGAGCGCCAAGGTGA